CGCTGCTTTAGAACATTGATTTTGAAACTTGTGAATCCATTAAAATCGTTAGAAGACAGAATCGCGATTCATATATGAATAGATTTTTACGTGCACCCCTAGTTTTCTCTTCCTCTTCTCTAAAGCAGCGCAGCATGGCCTCGCCCCCTTTGCTGCCTCTTCCTGAGGGCAGGGTTTATCTGGGTTTGTGATGTCACAAACCCAGGAAGTAACTCGTTGTAGTCCCTACCAGCCTTTTTTGTAGGCATTAAACCGCCAGAATTTTAAAAGATGATATCTTCATTTGCATTGAACTTTCAGCTTCGTAACTTTGCAGATATTGTTTATGCTCAAACAGCAACATTACACACTAACTAACGTTTAAAAAGTGAAATCGCAATCAACCACCCCTTTAAACAAAGAAAATGAAAAAGTAGCATATTCGATTTTGGGGTGGCCAATCAGATGTCAGGCTCTGGCTCCGCCACTGGACTCACCTATGCTGTCCTGCAAGGCTTTGGGTTTTCTGTAGTGGAGGGAAGCGTCTTGTTTTGGAGAGCTACATGGCAGTGTGTTTGAGTGATAGGTCAAAGCCTGGGGAACCATGGTGTCATGGCAACGGTCCAGAGTCTCAGTGCTGGCACTTAACCCCGGTCTCTGTTGGAATAAAATGTGTTTTAATACCACTTCACAAAGTGACCAGCAGAGTGCACACAGATGTGGACTATAACAAGCAGCATTTAAACTGTTCGCTGGTCATATCTTCTGAGATAATAAAAGGAAGTGCCTACAGACAGATGAACTATATCAGCAAAAATACTATTCTGTTTGGATCAGGCCTTCTGGTTAACAGGAAAATTCCCACACTTCATATGCAAATAAATCTTCTGTGTCATGAGTGATACTGAAAAACTGTTGTGATGGAATATTTAAAGTCTGTCAGTAAACCCATTGGAAAATAAAGCCCAACACGCTCATACAATTCATGTTTTTGCTAGATTTTTACATTTATTGTAGGAATTGTGAGTGGTGTCCATACAAAACTCAGCAACATGATATTAGTGTAGTTGCCAGGTTGTAGTTTACGGGCCAGAGTCAACTCATAAGTCTCAATGATATTCTGATCCCTCAAAACCCTTCTTCATTTTAAGAATATGGGATTGTTTCTTCCTGTTTCATCATTCTCAAGTGAAAATCGAACATCCTTTCACTTAGAAACTAGTACATGCCACACGATTCAGAACAAATGGTGTAGGACGTATCAGCTACTGAACTTTAGTACTTACAGAAAGGGGTTTGTTCAAATCCCAAACCCCAAGTACGATCAATAACTGAGAAGAGATTTCTTCAGCACAAAATGAAATATTCAGCCATTTCCTCAATTCTACAAGATCATTATCACCTCTGAAATCTATTATCATACTCACAGGTCTTAAACTCTTCACAGGCGATGTCTGACCTAGAAACAGAGAAAAGGCAAATGAGAGGCATAAGTAGCAGTGAAGGAGGAAAAATGGGGAACAGGCACTCAACAGACAGATGAAAAAAAACTGGAACTCGTTACTGGGATAGAAAGTTTCTAGCCTTATTATAATGACAGCGTTTCATGGTTGTTGCCTCTCAAACATGAAAAAGGCATGAGAATACATTGTTTCAATGCTACATTATTAATTCCCATCCATCTAACTAAAAAGCTACTCAAAGAGGAAGCATCATTCAAGTGCTTCAAAGTGGGGCGTTTCCTGAGCCAATTCCGAGCTGAGTTAATCATGACACATGTGTCATCTAGCAGCCATTAAAGATGGATAGAATAAATGTACATAAGAGAAAATTATGAATCCTCCAGGGAGAAAGACATCGCAAACGACAGAAGTCATGCATAAAATAATGATGCCGCTACACTTCCATCTGTCAATTTAGAACACGCTGTTTATTCATTCACTTTGTTTTTTCTTGTCTTTCTCTTGATTGGTGTGATTCCATTGAATTTAATGTCTAAACAATGAATGACAAAACTCACTCAGCCTTTGAGGGGTAATAGAACTGCTTAAAGCATTATCTTGCTCTCTTTCTCTCCCTTTTTCCCCTTTCCCCCTCCTTCTCTCGCTCTGCAGACAATATATCCTACAGAACTCTTTGCAGACACATCCTGAAATTCCCCTGTGATCTAAACTCATTTCCCAAATTCCCAGCCAGCCCCACAGAGTGGGTGCAAAAGATGCAACAGGGCCTCTCCCGCCAACTGTATCAGAATCAACGGTCCATCATTCTTACATAACGTTGTCCTTAGGGACAGAAACACACCTCAACAATGATTGGTGAGAGTGGAGGAGAGGAGAACAAGTGTGGCTAAAATGTAAAATTATGAACTGGAGAAAATAATGCAACTGATTTCTCACCTGCTGAGCAATTGACATATAACTAAAAAAAAAGAGACAAAGGGAAAAGAGCCTTTGTATAATTCCCTGCTGAAAAGACCAGCATACTGTAGTTGCTGGTCTAGTAGTTGTGGATGCATGTTTGCTGTTGCTCCTATTAGGCTTGTTAATTATAATTTAAAAATATAATTCACCCAACAAAAGTGAAAATTCTGTAAGCATTTACCCTCATTTTATTCTAAACCATGTGTTTTTTTATTCTAATGTGGAACATGAAAGGTTGTGTTTTGCAAAATGTCCTCTGCCACATTGCATATTAATTTTCTTACTCAGTATTTTTTTCCAGTACAAATACCTAAACATTTTTAAATCAAAATATATTACTTGAGATGCAACAATGACATTAGATGCAAAATGTTGTTTTCAGAGAAATATGATTAAAATTATTTTTCATATACCGCTGGCAGATTGTTTCCATTTTTGTAAACCACAATTAATTTAGCTATATTTCTCATAAAACAAATGTTATGTCAGTTTGCATCTTAAATTAATCTTGAATTAAGAACATTTAGATATTTGTACTGAAAAACAAAACAAAAATACTGTGCAAGAAAGTGACTTCCAGTGTACTCTTTCCATGAATCAGGAATTTTTCAATTTCTGAATTTGAACTGAATTCAAATTAAAATCCTAAACATGATGCAGAATTTGAATTTAAGGAAGTAACAATAAAACAAACTGAAGAAATTCATTAAACTGCAATAAGTGTAATTTTACGAGAAAAAGAAGAGTTGTCAAGACAAACTTCAAACTTTTTTAATGGTGGCTTGACAAAGGCTTAAAGGATTAAAAAGTTTGACAGTTTTATTCATTTTCACATTTATATTCACTTCATGCTAGTCAAAGTTAAAGTCTTTAAAAGTCTTTTCAGCAGGGTTTTTACTAGAAATGCCTGAGATCCATTTTGAGTGTGTGATGGAGAACGGGGTAACATTTTAATTTAAAATGAGTAGGAATGCAAAAAAGTGTACCAAACACACACACATTAAAAAAAATCAGTTTCTTAAAGGACAACTAGGACATCTGAAACTGCCATTGCCCACTACGGCTATACTAATTAAATTCTAAAGGCCCAAAACATACTCTACACAAGAACATTTACAGACACTCTTATCCAATGTGACTTCTACTGCATTCAAGTTTTATATATATATATATATTTTTTTTTTCAGTTCATCCACAAATTTTGTGATTTAATGCAAGATTCCCTGGTCATTAAGGCAAAAAGATCATTGAAACACGTATTTTCTTTAAAGCTGCTTTGAAACGATGTGTACTGTGAAAAGTACTACACAAATAAACCTGAATTCCTTGGGAATCAAACCTACTGTAGTGTTGTTAGCACCATACTCTACCGTTTGAACTACAGGAACTACATAAACATGAATGCAAAGGATTCCTGCAAGAAGGATATGATTTCTGCCACCGTAGTGACAATTATTGTAAACTTTCAGCTTTTTCAGCTTGTGTAGAGTATGTTTATGGCCTAAATGTTCAGATGATCAAATGTTCCATACACCCTCCTGCTCTCTTACCTCCTCTCAACACCAACAGATTCACCTCGCTGTGCACAGGGAGGTCTTTCAGTATATCCACCACCTGCGCGTGTCTCAGTGTTTGCACATTCTGCCTGTTAATCTCCTTTATCACATCTCCTTTCAGCAGGCCTCGGCACCACTGCTCATCCAGGATCATTTTCACCTTCTGCCCCAGCGGACAGTCTGCAATGGCAAAGCCAAATCCTCCAGGTCCCTTCACGATTGGCACGCTCACCAGCTCCGGCTGTAGCATCCCAGTCTCGGGCCTGTCGTTGGCACCGCTGCTGCCTCCTGGAAGTGCAGCGATCACCGGCCGCCCACTGGCATCTGTGGTTACGTAGTGAAGCTCTTGGGAGGAGCCGTGAAGGGCGTCACCTTTGACCAGCAGTGGCTGGCCGTTGATGAGGGGTACGGCGGTTACGATCTCTCCTGTCGGGGGTGGAGGTGGAGGGGGAAGGTCCTCGCTGTCGGCGTCCACGTCAGGGGGGAGCGAGTATCCGCGACAGAGGACCATGTCCACATACTGATTAATTGGGATGCACTGGAACATGTGGACCACATCTGCGTGGGTCTTGCCTAAGACAAGTGTGCCGTTGATTTCCACAATAACATCACCTTGGTTGAGATAACGGAATTTGACAGAATGAGAGTGAGTAAAAAGAACTAAAGAAAAAAGTAATTACATCGTGAAAGAACAACTTTTCTAATCCCTTTGTGCTTTTTAAAGATACTAGATAAAAGGAAGAGTTTACACAAAATCGAAAATTTGTCATTATTTTTTCACATATCTATTTTATGTACACTGTTGTAAGCTACAAAAAAGAGGCATAAGTAGCAGTGAAGGAGGAAAAATGGGGAACAGGCACTCAACAGACAGATGAAAAAAAACAGGAACTCGTTACTGGGATAGAAAGTTTCTAGCCTTATTATAATGACAGCGTTTCATGGTTGTTGCCTCTCAAACATGAAAAAGGCATGAGAATACATTGTTTCAATGCTACATTATTAATTCCCATCCATCTAACTAAAAAGCTACTCAAAGAGGAAGCATCATTCAAGTGCTTCAAAGTGGGGCGTTTCCTGAGCCAATTCCGAGCTGAGTTAATCATGACACATGTGTCATCTAGCAGCCATTAAAGATGGATAGAATAAATGTACATAAGAGAAAATTATGAATCCTCCAGGGAGAAAGACATCGCAAACGACAGAAGTCATGCATAAAATAATGATGCCGCTACACTTCCATCTGTCAATTTAGAACACGCTGTTTATTCATTCACTTTGTTTTTTCTTGTCTTTCTCTTGATTGGTGTGATTCCATTGAATTTAATGTCTAAACAATGAATGACAAAACTCACTCAGCCTTTGAGGGGTAATAGAACTGCTTAAAGCATTATCTTGCTCTCTTTCTCTCCCTTTTTCCCCTTTCCCCCTCCTTCTCTCGCTCTGCAGACAATATATCCTACAGAACTCTTTGCAGACACATCCTGAAATTCCCCTGTGATCTAAACTCATTTCCCAAATTCCCAGCCAGCCCCACAGAGTGGGTGCAAAAGATGCAACAGGGCCTCTCCCGCCAACTGTATCAGAATCAACGGTCCATCATTCTTACATAACGTTGTCCTTAGGGACAGAAACACACCTCAACAATGATTGGTGAGAGTGGAGGAGAGGAGAACAAGTGTGGCTAAAATGTAAAATTATGAACTGGAGAAAATAATGCAACTGATTTCTCACCTGCTGAGCAATTGACATATAACTAAAAAAAAAGAGACAAAGGGAAAAGAGCCTTTGTATAATTCCCTGCTGAAAAGACCAGCATACTGTAGTTGCTGGTCTAGTAGTTGTGGATGCATGTTTGCTGTTGCTCCTATTAGGCTTGTTAATTATAATTTAAAAATATAATTCACCCAACAAAAGTGAAAATTCTGTAAGCATTTACCCTCATTTTATTCTAAACCATGTGTTTTTTTATTCTAATGTGGAACATGAAAGGTTGTGTTTTGCAAAATGTCCTCTGCCACATTGCATATTAATTTTCTTACTCAGTATTTTTTTCCAGTACAAATACCTAAACATTTTTAAATCAAAATATATTACTTGAGATGCAACAATGACATTAGATGCAAAATGTTGTTTTCAGAGAAATATGATTAAAATTATTTTTCATATACCGCTGGCAGATTGTTTCCATTTTTGTAAACCACAATTAATTTAGCTATATTTCTCATAAAACAAATGTTATGTCAGTTTGCATCTTAAATTAATCTTGAATTAAGAACATTTAGATATTTGTACTGAAAAACAAAACAAAAATACTGTGCAAGAAAGTGACTTCCAGTGTACTCTTTCCATGAATCAGGAATTTTTCAATTTCTGAATTTGAACTGAATTCAAATTAAAATCCTAAACATGATGCAGAATTTGAATTTAAGGAAGTAACAATAAAACAAACTGAAGAAATTCATTAAACTGCAATAAGTGTAATTTTACGAGAAAAAGAAGAGTTGTCAAGACAAACTTCAAACTTTTTTAATGGTGGCTTGACAAAGGCTTAAAGGATTAAAAAGTTTGACAGTTTTATTCATTTTCACATTTATATTCACTTCATGCTAGTCAAAGTTAAAGTCTTTAAAAGTCTTTTCAGCAGGGTTTTTACTAGAAATGCCTGAGATCCATTTTGAGTGTGTGATGGAGAACGGGGTAACATTTTAATTTAAAATGAGTAGGAATGCAAAAAAGTGTACCAAACACACACACATTAAAAAAAATCAGTTTCTTAAAGGACAACTAGGACATCTGAAACTGCCATTGCCCACTACGGCTATACTAATTAAATTCTAAAGGCCCAAAACATACTCTACACAAGAACATTTACAGACACTCTTATCCAATGTGACTTCTACTGCATTCAAGTTTTATATATATATATATATATATATATATATTTTTTTTTTCAGTTCATCCACAAATTTTGTGATTTAATGCAAGATTCCCTGGTCATTAAGGCAAAAAGATCATTGAAACACGTATTTTCTTTAAAGCTGCTTTGAAACGATGTGTACTGTGAAAAGTACTACACAAATAAACCTGAATTCCTTGGGAATCAAACCTACTGTAGTGTTGTTAGCACCATACTCTACCGTTTGAACTACAGGAACTACATAAACATGAATGCAAAGGATTCCTGCAAGAAGGATATGATTTCTGCCACCGTAGTGACAATTATTGTAAACTTTCAGCTTTTTCAGCTTGTGTAGAGTATGTTTATGGCCTAAATGTTCAGATGATCAAATGTCCCATACACCCTCCTGCTCTCTTACCTCCTCTCAACACCAACAGATTCACCTCGCTGTGCACAGGGAGGTCTTTCAGTATATCCACCACCTGCGCGTGTCTCAGTGTTTGCACATTCTGCCTGTTAATCTCCTTTATCACATCTCCTTTCAGCAGGCCTCGGCACCACTGCTCATCCAGGATCATTTTCACCTTCTGCCCCAGCGGACAGTCTGCAATGGCAAAGCCAAATCCTCCAGGTCCCTTCACGATTGGCACGCTCACCAGCTCCGGCTGTAGCATCCCAGTCTCGGGCCTGTCGTTGGCACCGCTGCTGCCTCCTGGAAGTGCAGCGATCACCGGCCGCCCACTGGCATCTGTGGTTACGTAGTGAAGCTCTTGGGAGGAGCCGTGAAGGGCGTCACCTTTGACCAGCAGTGGCTGGCCGTTGATGAGGGGTACGGCGGTTACGATCTCTCCTGTCGGGGGTGGAGGTGGAGGGGGAAGGTCCTCGCTGTCGGCGTCCACGTCAGGGGGGAGCGAGTATCCGCGACAGAGGACCATGTCCACATACTGATTAATTGGGATGCACTGGAACATGTGGACCACATCTGCGTGGGTCTTGCCTAAGACAAGTGTGCCGTTGATTTCCACAATAACATCACCTTGGTTGAGATAACGGAATTTGACAGAATGAGAGTGAGTAAAAAGAACTAAAGAAAAAAGTAATTACATCGTGAAAGAACAACTTTTCTAATCCCTTTGTGCTTTTTAAAGATACTAGATAAAAGGAAGAGTTTACACAAAATCGAAAATTTGTCATTATTTTTTCACATATCTATTTTATGTACACTGTTGTAAGCTACAAAAAAAAAAAAAAAAAAAAACAAGTAGCCTGTACGACTTGTGTACTATGTTCCAAGCGTTTTTAAACTGGATCAGTGATTTAATTTTTAATGAATCGGCTGATCCAGTTCATGAATCAGACTTTGTTCACTCACTCAATGATCCACAGCAGTTCTCTACTTAACAGCTCACTGGAATGGAAGATTATTAGTGAATACTGATTTAAATTTTAGTCAATTTTGGTTATCATGTGGCTTCAGAAGACTGTTGCTGTATGGAAACAGGTTATTATTGTTAACTAAAACCATTAAAAACTTTAAAAAAACAACAACAAAAAAAAAAATATTAAATGAAAAACTTCTAAAAATTAGAAACAAAATCAACTGAAAATTAGAAATGTTGTATTGGCAAATAAGTTTAAGTTGAAAAAAAATTGCTTAATGGAAAAAAATGTAATCAAACACTGAATTAATAATAAAATAAACCTCAAGAGTATGATAATTATTAATATTAAAAACATAATAAAAATGACTAATGCACAAAACAAAATTACAAAATAATTAACTTAAACTAAAATGAAAACTGAAAATGTAAAAAATAAAGTCAATTAAAAATAAAGTAGTAAATATAGCCATTATTGTATAATTTGTTATGTTAAACTACTTCTCCTATCTCAGTTTAATGTGAGGAGACAACTATAATTAAGCCATTCTTAGGCTGACTTCCTAATGATCCATAATGTGAATTGTGGATGTTCCCCTAAACAACTTTCACCAAACTAGACATCCCTCACCAGAGGCCATCTTGTTGTCTTGTGCGGCCGGGCCATCAGCAAGAACGTTCTTCACCTGCAGGAACTCATCAGGTCGGTCTCCACCAATGATGGTGAAACCAAACCCCTGCTGGCTCTTCCTGAGAGCCGTGTGATACAGCTCCCCCTTCAGCTGGGTCGGGTCCCGTGTGAATCCGGGCGTACCAGCCGCTCCACCTACAGAGACAGAAGGAGATTAAGACACAGACAGACAACATCTGTGATGACTTCACATAAAATATGTACAAAGACAAAACTGAAAACAACTAGACATTGATACAGTAGACAAACGGTATATACAAGCACCAACTGCACCGCATGAAATGCTTGCTGATAAACATGTTTTCAAAGTGTTTGACAGATCCATCAATAATGTGTGAAGTCACAAATGCAGACTGTCCTAATATCATCAACCAAAGCACATTAGTGGATGCTTTCCATTAATATGATACAAAATAGGGCCTGAAACACACTTTTGAACACATAGACAGATAAAAGAGGCCTAACCTTTGGGAAAATGTTGACCATCAACCTCAGGATTAATTTTGTATGAAGTTTGCTGTAGCTAAAATGTGGGACATGTGAGACTACATGCTGTAGTTTACAGTAAAATAGATTTATAGATTTATTTATAATAGCATTAAAAAATTACAATGATTAAAAAAAAAGAAACAGACAAAAACATAGACAGACAGACAGACAGACAGACTATCATCAACCAAAGCACATTAGTGGATGCTTTCCATTAATATGATACAAAATAGGGCCTGAAACACACTTTTGAACACATAGACAGATAAAAGAGGCCTAACCTTTGGGAAAATGTTGACCATCAACCTCAGGATTAATTTTGTATGAAGTTTGCTGTAGCTAAAATGTGGGACATGTGAGACTACATGCTGTAGTTTACAGTAAAATAGATTTATAGATTTATTTATAATAGCATTAAAAAATTACAATGATTAAAAAAAAAGAAACAGACAAAAACATAGACAGACAGACAGACAGACAGACAGATAGATAGATAGATAGATAGATAGATAGATAGATATGCAATTAAAACCGGGAATCATTCCAAACATCTGTCATACAGTAGTAGTAAACAAAACCATTAACAACTCTCTCTCTGACAGCATAGACGAGAACATTTATCGCCAGCAGTTCAACCTCACATACCCATCTGATATACTGCTATCCTGTGGGTTCCCAGAAGGGCCGAGGGAATGATAACACTCACATCCTCAATTTTAGACAACCTTCAGAATCTCCCTTAGCACTGGGTGTGGAGTTTTCCAGCTAATGTTCCACTGCTGTAATTGAAAGTTTTAGGGGGAACTGTTTTTGTGTTTTACGCCCATGCTGCATAAAACAGTGTGTCATGGAATACTGTACTCTCAGAGTTCATCACAAATCACCAAAGTCTAGAAGACTGTAGGGATCACACTGTTTTAATGAGCTATTATATCGCCGAACAATAAAAGAAGAATCACACTGAGCTAAAAGAAGCTTGGGTTGTGTGTGTGTGTGTGTGTGTGTGTGTGTGTGTAAGCAAAAGTTTAAAAATGGGGGTTGGTAGTTCATAAGTTAGGGTGACCACACCTGCCATTTTCCCAGGACGCGTCCTGGCCAGGATTTGTT